ATTACACCGCTACATATCCACAATAGAAAATGTTTAATACCACCATACAACAATATCACAATGTGTGCGTATGCATGTGTCTGTACATTTGCATGTGTCTCTTCACAGTCCCCGTTGTTCCATAAGGTGTATTTTTACCTGTTTTTTAAATCTGATTCTACTGCTTGCATCAGTTAACTGATGTGGAATAGAGTTCCATGTAGTCATGGCTCTATGTAGTACTGTACGCCTCCCATAGTCTGTTCTGGACTTGGGGACTGTGAAGAGACCTCTGGTGGCATGTCTTGTGGGGTATGCATGGGTGTCCAGACAGCTCGGTACATTCAGCTTGTCAACACCTCTTACAAAAACAATTAGTGATGAAGTTTATCTCTCTTCCACTTTGAGCCATGAGAGATTGACATGCATGTTATTAATGTTAGCTCTCCGTGTACTTTTAAGGGCCAGACGTGCTGCCCTGTTCTGAGCCAACTGCAATTTTCCCAAGTCCCTCTTTGTGGCACCTGACCACACTACTGAACATTAGTCTAGGTGTGACAAAACTAAGGCCTGTAGGACCTGCCTTGTTGATAATGTCGTTAAGAAGGCAGAGAAGCTTTATTTTGGACAGACTTCTCCCCATCTTAGCTACTGTTGGATCAATATGTTTTGACCATGACAGTTTACAATCCAGGGTTACTCCAAGCAGTTTAGTCACCTCAACTTGCTAAATTTCCACATTATTCGTTACGAGATGTAGTTGAGATTTAGGGTTTAGTGAATGATGTGTCCCAAATACAATGCTTATTCCTTGCTACCCATTCCGAAACTAACTGCAGGTCTTTATTAAGTGTTGCAGTCTTTTCAGTTGCTGTAGTAATTGACATGTGTAGTGTTGAGTCATCCGCAGACATTGACACACTGGCTTTACGCAAAGCCAGTGGCATGTCGTATGTAAAGATTGAAAAAAGTAAGGGGCCTAAACAGCTACCCTGGGGAATTCCTGATTCTACCTGGATTATGTTTGAGAGGCTTCCATTAAAGAATACCCTCTGTGTTCTGCTAGACAAGTAGCTCTTTATCCAAATTATAGCAGGGGGTGTAAAGCCATAACACATACGTTTTTCCAGCAGCAGACTATGATCAATAATGTCAAAAGCTGCACTGAAGTCTAACAACACAGCCCCCACAATCATTTTATCATCAATTTCTCTCAGCCAATCATCAGTCATTTGTGTAAGTGCTGTGCTTATTGAATGTCCTTCCTTGTAAGCGTGCTGAAAGTCTGTTGTCAATTTGTTTACTGTGAAATAGCATTGTATTTGGTCAAACACCATTTTTTCCAGAAGTTTACTAAGGGTTGGTAACAGTGATTGGTCGGCTATTTGAGCCAGTAAAGGGAGCTTTACTATTCTTGGGTAGCCTGAGGGCACACACTTTCTAGTAGGCTTGAATTGAAGATGTGGCAAATAGGAGTGGCAATATCGTCCGCTATTATCCTCAGTAATTTTCCATTCAGATTGTCAGACCCCGGTGGCTTGTCATTGTTGATAGACAACAATAATTGTTTCAACTCTTCCACACTGACTTTACGGAATTCAAAATTACAATTCTTGTCTTTCATAATTTGGTCAGATATACTTGGATATGTAGTGTCAGCGTTTGTTGCTGGCATGTCATACCTAAGTTTGCTTATCTTGCCAATGAAAAAGTAATTAAAGTAGTTGGCAATATCAGGGGGTTTTGTGATGAATGAGCCATCTGATTTAATGAATGATGGAGCCGAGTTTGCCTTTTTTCCCAAAATGTCATTTAAGGTGCTCCAAAGCTTTTTACTATAATAATAATAATAATAATAATAATAATAATAATAATAATAATAATAATAATAATATTATTTGCATGTGTCTCTTCACAGTCTATCATTCTTTATATCATTTATTTTTGTTTCATAGTATAGTTTATTTTTATTTTTATTTAGTTTAGTCACATTATTTCTTAATTTGCAGTACATTTGCCAATCAGTTGAGTTGCTAGACTTATTTGCCATACCTTCTGCCTCATCCCTCTCAACCATACAATTTTTCAATTCCTCATCAATCCAAGGGGATTTAACAGTTTTTACAGTCATTTTCTTAATGGGTGCGTGCTTATTAGTAACTGGAATAAGCACTTTCATAAATGTGTCAAGTGCAGCGTCTGATTGCTCCTCATTACACACCACAGACCAGCAAATATTCTTTACATCATCAACATATGAATCACTACAAAACTTATTGTATGACCTCTTATACACTATATTAGGCCCAGCCTTTGGTTTTCCTAGATATGGCTACTATATTGTGATCACTACATCCTATGGATTTGGATACTGCTTTAAAGCAAATTTCTGCAGCATTAGTAAAGATGTGACCAATACACGTTGATACTGTAATTTCATTGCTGTGCTGTTTGTAAATACCCTGGTAGGTTGACTGACAACCTGAACCAGATTGCAGGCACTGGTTACAATTACGTTTTTTTTTTTTTTGTGGGCAGCTTGATGAGAGCCAGTCAATATTTAAAATCACCCAGAAAATATACTTCTCTGTTGATATCACATACATTATCAAGCATTTCACACATAATATACAGATACTGACTGTTAGCACTATGTGGTCTATAGCAGCTTCCCACAAGAATGGGGTTTAGGTGAGGCAGATGAACCTGTAGCCATATTGCTTCAACGGTATTTAACATGAGATCGTCTCTAAGCTTTACAGGAATGTGGTGATGAATATAGACCGCAACACCGCCCACGTTGGCATTTCTGTCTTTTCGGTAGATTTTATAACCATGTATTGCTACCACTGTATCAGTTAATAAGCTAGCCCTGGCATACTGGGCAAGACTGAAGAGTTGTTACGGTAGATCATCCTACACTGACAGTATTGGAAGACTGCTGGGAATATGAACGATATCAAAAGAGGGGTTTTGGCCCAGAAATTGGAAAAAGGGTTGATGAATATGGACTCAGAGATGTTGTTATAGGGCCATCTGTGGCAATAGGAAATGTGCCACCGTGGTTTTATACAAGACCACATGTTGATCTTAACCTGGGCTCTCGAGTGGCGCAGCGGTCTAAGGCACTGCATCTCAGTGCTTGAGGCGTCACTACAGACCCCCTGGTTCGATTCTAGGCTGTATCACAACCGGCCGTGATTGGGAGTCCCGTAGGGCGGCGCACAATTGGCCCAGTGTCGTCCAGGTTTGGCCGGTGTAGGCCGTCATTGTAAATAAGAATTTGTTCTTAACTGACTTGCCTAGTTAAGTAAAATAGAAGAAAGGAAACAGTGGTGTGAAGAAGATAATGTAGGAACAATAGTGGATCAATATAATAGTAATCAGTTTTATTCTTGTCTTGCAGTGTATACAGATTGTTCAAAGGATCCCATGAATGGGAAGACAGGAGCAGGTGGATTTATTCCTGAGGTAGATGTTAATCTATGCAAGAGACTAACAAATGATTTATCTGTATATTCAACAGAAATGGTTGCGATAATTGTTGGATTGCAATGGATAGAGGAGGCGTAACCAAGAAGAGTAGTAATATGTTGGGACTCTGCATCCGTTTTGTGTAGTTTAAGATCTGGAAAGTCAGAACTTGAGGATATATGGTTAAAACTAATGATGCTGTTGTTATGGTTACAAAGAAATGGTATTGAAATTCAGTTCTGTTAGATTCTGGCTCATTCAGCTGTTTATGGAAATGCTACATTAGATATAATAGCAAAAAGAGCAGTGAAAAATAATATTGTGGATTTACAGGTGCAGTTGGGTGGAGAGGAAATTAAAACATTGATTCGGAAAACTGGGTTAGATTGCTGGCAGAGACAATGGGATGAAAGTAGTAAGGGCAGACATTTTTATAGTACAAGGAAATGTGTATGGAGATACTGTCATATAATGGGAACAGAAGGGATGAGGTTATGTTGTGTAGGATGAGATTAGGACATGCGGGATTGAATTCATCTTTGAAATTGATAGGGAAACATGGTACTAGAATGTGTAATGGCTGTATGGTAGAGGAAATGGTTGATCATGTATTATTATTTTGTGAAATGTATGTTGTAGAAAGGGAGAGATTGTTTGACAGGGTCAGAGAGGTTGGACGGGAATGTGGAATGGGGAGTGGGTGGTATTTTGGGTGGGGTGATGGGAGTAATGAGGTTTGTAGGGAATTATTTTATTTTATTAGAAATTCAGAGTCAGTTAAGAGAATATAGTGGTATAGAAAGGTCGTGACCGGCCTCACACTTCAGTACAGTTGGTTGCGATTCGCCAATAAAACTTCAAGAAGAAGAAGAAGAAGAACCACCTCCCGCACGGAGCGAGGGATAGCAAGTGCGCCTGCTGCTGGTTAGCGTGAAGCTGTGTTGAAGGAACACGTGACTGACTAGGGGAAAAGGAATGAAAGGCTAAAAAGAAGTAAAGGCGAAAAAGACGCTTCAACAACACCGTAAGGTATGACAAAAAACACTTGTGGAAATGGGACAATTGTCCTACTCAATTTTAAATATATATATTTAAATGACAGACATAGAATAAAGTATACTGTTTTAAGGCGAGCAAACTGCATATGCTGACGTTGGATAATTTTCACTGTCTGGACCAAAAAAATTTAGCCAGTTCGCTAGGGGCAGCAAGCTAGGTGGCTAACGTTTTATGTTGTGACCGTTGTCTGTTTGCTAGCTAACGTTAGCTTTCCTTCAGATGTTGGATTGGCTAGCTAGCACTGTTGTTTTCAAGGGGTTATTGGTAAAGTTACATCCTTGTGCTGATGACGTGTCAAATCTAAACTAAGCTATTGAAAGTTTAGCTAGCTAACGTTATCCCTGAAACATTCATGTGTGGGTAGCTATACCTCCACCGCCTAATAGACGTTTTTTTTCCTGTGGTGTGAGACTGTCTTTTGTTTTCGAAATTACAGTGTACCATTTGCAGTATTTATCCATCTCCAGCCGGCAGAGGAGCGAAAGGGGATGGTGAATTCTGACCTCCAAGGCTGTTGTGAGGTCAAACAGGCCTGCGGTAAAGGGTTCACCAATTGGATATGAGAGCTATCTGTGAGTATACCTCTTGTCTACATCCAGTGTTCGGCGCAACTATTGGCAGAAAATGCTGTTACATGTCAAATCACTTTTTTGCACCACAGCCCTGTTGTAATACTTTTAAAAAAGAATCACTGATTACTTATCTGGACAGGTAAAAGCTATGTAGCAGAGCTCACCTGTTCAATCATATGACATCAGTGCCATTATGGCAGTGTTTCCCAAACTCGGTCCTCTGGACCCCAAGCGGTGCACGTTTTGTTTTTTGTCCTAGCACTACACAGCTTATCAAGTTTTGATAATTTGAATCGGCAGTGTAGTGCCAGGGCAAAAACCAAAACGTGTACCCCTTGGGGTCCCCAGGACCGAGTTTGGGAAACACTGCATTAGGCTAAGTGGCTCTAGCTAGCAGAGATCGTTACAATGACCCCCGGCACCTCATTAGCAAATTCTAATAATTTAAGACTTTGTTTGCACGCTACAGTACTTGTAACCTACAAATGGGCAGGTATAGGACTTGTGAGCTGTGTAATTTGTTTACAGTAGTCTAATCCTAGACGCCTCTGACTTGTGTTGTGAGAGGTGTGTATACCTAAACAATTAGTTAATACATCGTCTTATTGATGAGTTGGAATAGTACCCAGATGCTGTATTGTGATTATTATACTTTTTTTAAAGAACACCCCTGTGGAGAAGGAGTGATGAAGCTGAACGAACGTAGTGTGGCTCACTATGCCACCTGCGACTCGCCACCAGACAAGACAGGCTTCCTGTTCAAGAAGGGGGAGCGAAACACAGCCTACCACCGGCGCTGGTTGATCCTGAAGGGCAACATGCTGTTCTACTTTGAGGAGCGTGAGAGCCGGGAACCCATCGGCGTCATCGTGTTGGAGGGCTGCACCGTGGAGCTCTGCGAGTCAGCTGAGGAGTTCGCCTTCGCCATCAAGTTTGACTGCGCCAAGGCTCGTGTCTACAAGATGGCGGCGGAGAACCAGGCGGCCATGGAGTCGTGGGTGAAGGCTCTGTCGCGAGCCAGCTTCGACTACATGCGCCTGGTGGTGCGGGAGCTGGAGAGGCAGCTGGAGGAGATCCAGGAAGGGGCTGGTGGGCTGCAGGGCAGGCCCAAGTCCTCCAGGAAGGCAGGGGGGGTGGCACGCTCCAAATCGGGAGCATCATTCAGCGCTTCCACCGTGCCCTCTACCCAGGTTACAGGTGCAGCGCTCGCACAGGGGGCAGCTCATGCCCGCAGCCTTCAGGAGGAGGTGCAGCTCCTGTCCGGCGCCTCTAAAGAGAACGGGGTGGCCTGGAGCAAGCCTTCTGCTCTGGTCAATGGGTGCAGTGAAGGCCCCCACTCTGGTGTGCCGTGGGAGGGGAACGGAGGGGGCGATGGGGTCAGGCCTCCGCCCGTGCCTCCGCGCAGGAGGGGTGCGTCTCTCGAGAGTCCTGTCTCCCCTGGGACGGGGTGCTTCTCCAAACTTCACGACTGGTACGGAAAAGAGGTGGCTGAATTGAGGGTGGATTGGCTTCAGAGCCATTGAGGCGCCTCTCACCTCACAGCCCAGCTGTCAAGCATTATTAGAAAGGGGACTTGTCACTTCGCAGGATTGTTTCACCCCAAAAGACCTTGATTTTAATGCCAGAGAGCGTGTCCTTAAAATTCCAAACCCTTGGGTAGTCTGGGGAGCTGGTTGATTTGCTAAAAGCAGCACTTTCTTGTATTTTTAGGTATCGTGGGCCAGTGGGAATATGATGTGTTGTCCTATGACTGACTGTCACTACATTTTTATGAGACTATGGTCCTATTTTTTATTTTTATTTTTTAGAAAAGTTTTGTATTTACTAATGTCTTATTCTTTAATTTTTATTTTCAATCAGAAACTACAATCACTTATCACTTTTTCTATCATTCTTGTTTTCTACCATTTTTCTATTCACAAAGGAAAGGATGACACGTGACTGTTACTGAATTGAGTATATCTTGACATGATAATCAGTATATCGGTACATATACATAGTTGAAAATATGCATTTTATTCCATTTCACCAGAAGTCTTGAAAGGGGGACCAAATCAGTATATCGGTACATATACATAGTTGAAAATATGTATTTTATTCCATTTCACCAGTCTTGAAATGGGGACCATTGAAGGATAAACACAGGTGCATTCATTCTTTATACCACGTTCATTTTGGTCAAGCAACGGTTTACATATTTAGAAAATGATTCTCTCTTTTTACCTGTGCCTTGTGATCTTCCTCCCAAACCTGTCAGTGACAGTCAACACACGTCGATCCGTCTAAGAAGACTAGGCCTACCCAATGCCTTTATATCTGCCTTTCATTTTTGCCAAACCACACCTCAGTGCAATTTTGTTCGTTTGCGACAATGGCTCAATCCATTTGACCAGATATAAAGCACAGTATTACCATTAGTCACTTCTTTTTTTTATATACATTTTAATTACCAATAACGGATTATTATTATTTTTTTAATTAGAGGGGCCTTTTCTGTTTCCTGGTTACGTCATACTAGACTAGTAGCGTTAGACAAGTCTGTTACTTGTCGTGCAAAAAATATGGTAGGACAAGGAATGGCAAATTAAGTTGTGGAAAGCCCATAAAGATCTGTGACCAGGCTACAGGTGGTTGGTACAGATGTGATTGTGACTGGGTGAAAGATAATCAGTTGTATGTTAATTACTATGTTTTTATTAAATCTATTTCTCTGACACTAGGAGGACATTTTGTACTTGCTGATTATATAACTAGTTACATTTCCCTTTTTTAATTATACAATGAAGGAAAAAACGATTTGATCCCCTGCTGATTTTGTACGTTTGCCCACTGACAAAGACATGATTTGTCTATAATTTTAATGGTAGGTTTATTTGAACAGTGAGAGACAGAATAACAACAACAAAATCCAGAAAAACGCATGTTATAAATTGATTTGCATTTTAATGAGGGAAATAAGTATTTGACCCCTCTGCAAAACATGACTTAGTACTTGGTGGCAAAACCCTTGTTGGCAATCAGAGGTCAGACGTTTCTTGTAGTTGGTCACCAGGTTTGCACACATCTCAGGAGGGATTTTTTCCCACTCCTCTTTGCAGATCTTCTCCAAGTCATTAAGGTTTCGAGGCTGACGTTTGGCAACTCAAACCTTCAGCTCTCTCCACAGATTTTCTATGGGATTAAGGTCTGGAGATTGGCTAGGCCACTCCAGGACCTTAATGTGCTTCTTCTTGAGCCACTCCTTTGTTGCCTTGGCCGTGTGTTTTGGGTCATTGTCATGCTGCAATACCCATCCACGACCCATTTTCAATGCCCTGGCTGAGGGAAGGAGGTTCTCAGCCAAGATTTGACGGTACATGGCCCCGTCCATCGTCCCTTTGATGCGGTGAAGTTGTCCTGTCCCCTTAGCAGAAAAACACCCCCAAAGCATTATGTTTCCAACTCCATAGGGATGGTGTTCTTGGGGTCATAGGCAGCATTACTCCTCCTCCAAACACGGCGAGTTGAGTTGATGCCAAAGAGCTTGATTTTGGTTTCATCTGACCACAACACTTTCACCCAGTTCTCCTCTGAATCATTCAGATGTTCATTGGCAAACTTCAGATGGCCCTGTATATGTGCATTCTTGAGCAGGGGGACCTTGCGGGCGCTGCAGGATTTCAGTCCTTCACCGTGTAGTGTGTTGCCAATTGTTTTCTTGGTGACTATGGTCCCAGCTGCCTTGAGATCATTGACAAGATCCTCCCGTGTAGTTCTGGGCTGATTCCTCACCGTTCTCATGATCATTGCAACTCCACGAGGTGAGATCTCGCACGGAGCCCCAGGCCGAGGGAGATTGACAGTTCTTTTGTGTTTCTTCCATTTGCGAATAATCACACCAACTGTTGTCACCTTCTCACCAAGCTGCTTGGCGATGGTCTTGTAGCCCATTCCAGCCTTGTGTAGGTCTACAATCGTGTCCTTGACATCCTTGGAGAGCTCTTTGGTCTTGGCCATGGTGGAGAGTTTGGAATCTGATTAATTGATTGCTTCTGTGGACAGGTGTATTTTATACAGGTAACAAACTGAGATTAGGAGCACTCCCTTTAAGAGTGTGCTCCTAATCTCAGCTTGTTACCTGTATAAAAGACACCTGGGAGCCAGAAATCTTTCTGATTGAGAGGGGGTCAAATACTTATTCCCCTCATTAAAATGCAAATCAATTTATAACATTTTTGACATGCGTTTTTCTGGATTTTTGTTGTTGTTATTCTGTCTCTAACTGTTCAAATAAACCTACCATTAAAATTATAGACTGATCATTTATTTGTCAGTGGGCAAACGTACAAAATCAGCAGGGGATCAAATACTTTTTTCCCTCACTGTATGACATTTGGAGTATGTCAAATTATTGGATGAGACATTGCACGGCATATGACACCTCTATATCCAGAGTGCTAAAAATGGAACGATGACAACCCAATGCTTCCTTACACTCTCTTGGAATCTGTCTGTGGTGAACTTCATGGAAAGAATACAAAAATATTTTAGTGCACTACTGACAGAAGACTGTCCTGTTTCCATGTGACTAGATGTGATTTTGAAGGAGTGACTGAACTTATAATACTATAAGCATTACCTAATAAGTAACTTAAACAAAACAATAAATGGCTGAAAGATTGTCTCTTGTTTTGTCCAAGTGTGTATCCTCGATTTCAATGTTCGAATGAATACATTCATTCATGTTGGGCTGCTTTCCTCTCTTGAACTGAATACTTTTTTGAGCGCTAAACCGATGCCAGTTTGTGTTGGCATTGGCATGTCTGTAGAATATATGTGAATTTAATGTGAGCGAGGACACTGAAATGGACGGCATTAATCAACATCAGGCGACCAGTCCAAATGGGACAATAGGGTTGTGTTTTCTCTCTAAATGAAAGCAAAAGATTTCGCTCCACCAGATGTCGCTCCAACCTAATTTCTACTTGGCTGTATCGTAACAATTCATGAAAACAAAACATTTGCTTTTTGGTCTAAATTTAAGGTTAGAGTTGGGCAAAAGTTTAGCAGTGTGGTTCATTTTAGGGTTAGGTTTAAAATCACATTTTAAGAAGGAACATTTTAGAACTAGGGGGGTTTATGGCTGTGGTAACTAGTGACGACTGAGGTGTATGGAATGGGTAATCAGGCCTAATTTCTAGTCCTTTTAATTTATCAATACATGTTTTTTATATTATAGAGATGAATATTAAAACACAATGACCAAATCTATATCTGGACAATTTATTACATTTGTATGTATTATTAGTGTTACAAGGACTTATTGTATTATTATTGTTTTTGTTTCAAATCCTCCATCATTGTTCCAGTCCCGAAAAAACAAAAGGTGTCCTGCCTGAACGACTACAGACCTGTAGCGCTCACCTCGGTCATCATGAAAACCTTTGAGCACCTGGTACTGTCGCATCCACTGCAGATCGCCTACAGAGCTAACAGGTTTGAGGACGACACCGTCAACATGGGCCTACACTACTACCTCAAGCACCTCAAGGATATTGTTGTTGGACTTTAGCTCTGCATTCAATACCATCATCCCAGAACTGCTATAAAACAAACTCCCAGCTGAACGTGTCCAGCGCCATCTGTCAGTGGATCACTGACTTCCTGACCAACAGGATGCAACACGTGAAGATAGGAAAACACCTTTCGGACTCTTTATCCTCCAGCACCGGAGAACCGCAAGGATGCGTGCTCTCACCTCTACTCACTCTACACCAATGACTGCACCTCCAACAACGCATCTGTCAAACTACTCAAGTTTGTAGATGACACAGACGGGCGATGAGTCCATGTACCGTGGAGAGGTCGACTGGCTGGTGGCCTGGTGCAGTAGCCTCGTACCAATCATCCTGATCTTGCGAACTTACATTCTGGTTCACTACATGGATACACGGATGTATCAGGATGATCTGTGTAGCGAAACAGAATGTGACAGCTTAAAAAACTCAACATCTCCCAGTCAATCCTGATCCGGTTTTACGCATCAGTCGTTGAGCCCATCCTCACCTCCTCCATCACAGTCTGGTCGGGGTCTGCGTCTGCCCCGCTGCAAGGGCAAACTGTTTTAAGCGATAATAGGCATTGGTCGGAAGCTGAAAAGGAAATTCACATGAGCACCACAATGCCTGTTGGAGTGCCTTGATACATCCCTTAGCCGTGGTATATTGGCCATATACCACAAACCCCTGAGGGGCCTTGCTATTATAAACTGCTTACCAACGTAATTAGAAGAATAAAAAAACATATTTTGTCATACCGGTGGTATACGGTCTGACATCAGCATTCAGGGCTCGAACCACCCAGTTTATAATACAGCATAACACATGCTCTCCTTGTGAACCCTCACAATGTTGTGCGTTTTATTTATTGATAAGATCCCAGCTCATAATCCTACTGATCATTGCTCAAAGCAAATTGGCAAGAGCAAGGAAACAAAGACTGAAACAAATATTGACTATACAATTACACAATGTAGTTGGCTAGATGACTACAGGAGCGCAAAATATGGATGAGCTGTTCTCAATGGAAGGGTTCTGAAAAAAAGAAAATCTAGCCATGGTGGGGTGTGACCGTGAATATACTGTATCTTAGTCATCCACCTCAGTTGGACACACAAAGGTATCCTGTGTTTTTGTGTGTTTCTTCTCCTTCTGCCCTAATCACAGGTGTCCTGTATGTTCCTGATTGGTGGTCGTTGAGGTGTCTGCTGATTGCTAAGGTGGACCAATCAGTGAACATTCCTCTGCATTGCACCACCTGTTGCTGGTTTTTCAATCACACATCCCATTGTATAAAAACCAGTCACTTGTGTTTGTTGTTAGAGAGAGACTATTTCCGTATGTGAGTATGGACACTGTGGTGTCCTGTTTTTGTTTACGCACTAAGTTGCTGGTTACTCTGGTTGGTAATTTTGTTAGACTACTTTTTTGTATGTGAGTAATGGATACTGTGATGTCCTGTGTTTAGAGTACTCATTAATTTGCTGGTTACTCTGTTTGGTAACTTTGTGTGTTTCTGGGAAAAGGGGAAGTTAAGCAAGCTGCCCTTGGGC